TATAGTTGGCTAAAACATCCGGATCAAGTTTGGGCTTTTTCAGAAGAGGTTTAATTACAGCTACTTTAAAGTACTGTGGTACATAGCCTGTTGATAAAGATAGATTGATCATATCTAGTATAGAGGTGCTGACTAAGGGTAAAACATCTTTAAGCAGCCTAGTCGGGATGGGGTCTAAGAGGCAGGTTGATGGTTTAGATGAAGAAATTATTGAAGTTAGTTGGTAAAGATTGAGGGAAGCAAAACAGTCTGTATCTGGTTCTACAGCTGTTTCTAAGGTTCCTGAGTTAAGAGATAAGTCGGTGCCAATTGAGGGCAGGTCTTGGTGAATTTTGTCTCTAATAGCTAGAATTTTATCATTAAAGAAGCTCATGAAATCGTAACTACTGAGAGCTATGGGAATACTTGGCTCAATAGAGCTGGGACTCTCTGTCAGCCTGGCTACAGTGCTGAAAAGAAACTTTGGGTTGTTCCTATTTTCCTCTATTAATGACGAGTAGTACGCTGCTCTGGCATTACGGAGGGCCTTCCTATAAGTTTTAAGACTATCTTGCCAAATTAAATGAGAATTTTCCACTTTAGTGGAACGCCAATTCCTCTCAAGATATAAGGATCAACACTGTTCCTGTAAAGCTGGGTAGGCTATATGTTCACTATTACAATCGTTAAAAAGCAGAACAGTAGGGATTTATAAGGTTACATTCAGTAGGAAGTTAGCTAGCGTTAACTAACCAGCTAACTAACATCACACAAGCCTATATTTATCTGGATTTATTTTAGGTTTTGGAAAGACAATAAATCGAACTTCTCCTTTCAGTCTCTCTGGGTAACAACTGTAACTATTACAAGTGCCCCAGGAACAGCGTTTGAGCATATCTTGGAAAAATACGGCAGAAGAAAGCCAGAAAACGACGCCTTTTGCATTAGAGTGAATGTAGCGCAGCCATGAAAGTGTCGGACCTCAGTTAGAGCAAGTCCTATACTGCGCTGTGATTGGCCAGCTGTGTATTCGGGGCGTGGCTTAGCGAAGGGTTAATTATGTGCAAAGTTTGGTGAGTTTTTGAGCATGTTTAGGCCCCCAAAAAATTGCATTAAAAAGAATTCCTTCAGTTCCAATAGGGACCTTGCATGTTTCATGCTCGGACTCTAATTAATGTAGCCAGGTGAACCAGGGGTACAGAGTTCAAAAGTGTTACGTGTATAATGTTATGTAATTGCTGGTGAGATTATTTCAGCAATAACGTTCCTCTCTGTTTAATGTCACTGTCACTTCAAGAGTAGTACGTGGGACGGATCACGTGCGAGGGTTGAGTTTCCGACGGGACACGGGGAAAAACGAAAGTGTCGGCCCTGTGGTGTAGTGAAACGGCAAGGGATGTACAGTGGTTTATTGATACGGAGGATATCTCAATAAACCATGGTAAAGTACATTAATAATCCTTGAGATCAGCAAATGAAAGATTGAACTACCTAGCGGACCAAGGTAGATGCATGAAGACCTGGGTGTCCCAGCTGATTCCTGATGATTGATAGATAGAGGGGAAATTGCGGTGTTGCAGCAGCAAATTGACACAGAATACAAATAATTTACAGACCAGACATATTTACACAAACTAACATATAATGTACAAAATTTCCTTTAAAAATATATTTACAATGTATATTTACAAATATGAGATGTATACACAAGTGCAACTGTGCGCATATTCAGGATGTGCAATTAAGTATCACTTGCAAATATTGAGAGTGTTGAGTATGATGTTTTACTATAATGTCATGTCCTTTATCAATCACGTGTCATTCAGTCTCCTCTCCCTGCCCAGAGGAGAGTTGTTGTGTATTGTGGCATTGTGACAGTGGGTAGGAAGGACTTCTTGTAATGGTCCTTGCTACAGTGGAGTTGTAGGAGTCCACTGTAGCATGTATGTGTGTGTGTGTGTGTGTGTGTGTGTGTGTGTATCTTCGCCATGAGGGGAAGAGACTCTGACCAGCGAAAACAGCATGAGTGGCAAGGTGTGTTTACAAACAAAATGGTATTATATTAGTGTATACTGACGCTGTAAATAAATTGTGTGTTTTGTACTTTTCTGCTGACTTAGAGGGGAGATACAGGTGTGGGAATTCCTGGTGTGTGTTGGGGGGGGTGTCATTAGATGACAGTGGCTTACTGATTTCTTTCATAAAATATTAATTCTCAGTTCCTGTACAAAGTGTTGGGCAAATTATATTTTGTAAATGTATTTTGTGTTTTCTGGTAAGTTCAAATATTTACCATGACTTTATGACCTTGTGCGTTGTGTGGCAAAATTAATGTATTTATTTATATTTGGTTTTTATTTTCTCTATTTAGAAAAGGCCACTACTGTTATCTAGAGTTGACTGTTGTCAAGATTTTGGTGTTTTCTAGACGTTGTTGTTTTCTAGACTTTGTTGTTGCTCTCCAAAGCCTGTAAGTGATTGAATCACTTTCTTCTCACTCAATTGTTCTCTAGGGCTTTGTGATGTTGTGTTTCCATGGCACACGGGATTTGTTGTATGATTGTGATGCTTTGGTGTGTGTGTTCTCTGCATGCAGTTTGCTTGTGTGGGTGTGTATATGTATGACTGGTCGTGGCAGTCCTGGGAGGCGATCAAAATAAAACTAAGCTGGGCGTGTAGGTCCTGGATAAGCTGCTGGATTTGACTAAGCTGACAAGCGAGGTTGTGGAGAGGTGGGTCAGTAGGTCCGTGACTCTGACACACACCCGCTAACAAACACACTTAATTACACAACTCTGTCAATAACATTTCTATTCACGCACTCAGAGGCAGGCAGGTAATGTAAATACACTCAGCTGGAGTGTGTTATGCTTGGCTGAGACTAAACTGCATTGCGGTGTCTGGCTCCAGTTTCATGTGCAGATTAAACATAAGGTGTGTCTTTTGGTGGATGCTTTTTAATATTACCTATCTCTATAGTATTTCAGAACAATATCAGTCCCCAAAGAATGTTGTTGTCAGTGAAAACTAAATATCACAGTGTCTCTTTTGCTATTGCTAATGCTATTGTACCAGTGTATAATTCAATTCATTGACCAGATGGATTTTGGAAAATATTTTAGGAGAGAGAGAACGAAGCAGGAGATTGGCAAGGCTGCTGATTCTCAGGTCAGTAGTGGACTACATGTCAGTAGTTTTTGGCATGTCTAGGCACCTAGGCATCACCTAAACTAAATTATATCATGATATTTATTATCTTTGCTATATTCTGACCCATTTAACTTTCTGCATTCATTGGCTGTAATAAAATAAATAAATATGTAGATGTTGCCTGAATGTAGGCTAGGATATCCATGAGCATATACCCACAGATACAGATACACACAAGAAAATATAAGAAAATGAAAGCAATCATACATACATGCATAATCGTTGCTCCAAATCTTTTATCCCTTTGGCCATCAGGTTATTAAATTCAGACAGTAGCCACTTTAAACAGGATCCTTATTAACAGCTTACATATGTATACTTGTATGAAACCAAACCACAGAGCAAAATCACACTCTGATTGAACCAAGGTACAGTGCAGTAACAGTAAATACTGTAATTAAATAACCTTCTTTGGACCTGCAACTTATCTAATAGAGAGATGAATTATATATGGTATTACTTTATCACACATTTACAAGAGTAGCTGGACAGCATTTAAGTCATAGCCTACAGAAGAACTCAGTCTGGCCTGAGTGAATTCCCCCCATGCAGCTATGATGTGTCTGAAAGCTAACATTACAGTAACTTTTGATCAACAGAGGAGAATGGGGGAGAGAATATATCGCTTTTTACTGGTTGTTCACTGGTTGTAAGTGTAGTTCTAATACAACAACAAAAGATGTGAGTGTAAAAATTTTGCAAGCGCAAGGTAAGAATTCCCTGAAGGTAACCCAGGAGGAAGGCAAGCTGGTGGAGGCAGTGTGATGCTTTGGGCAATGTTCTGCTGGGAAACCTTGGGTCCTGCCATTCATGTGGATGTTATTGTATTGCAGACCATGCACACCATTTCATGGAAACGGTATTCCCAGACGGCAGTGGCCTCTTTCAGCAGGATAATGCTCCCTGCCACAAAGCAAAAATGGTTCAAGAAGGGTTTGAGGAACACAACAACGAGTTCAAGGTGTTGACTTGGCCTCCAAATTCCCCAGATGTCAATCCAATCAAGCATCTGTGGGATGTGCTGGACAAACAAGTCCGGTCCATGGAGGCCCCACCTCACAACTTACAGGACTTAAAAGACCTGCTGCTAATGTCTTGGTACCAGATATTACAGCTCACCTTCAGAGGTCTAGTGGAGTCCATGCCTCAACAGGTCAGGACTGTTTTGGTGGCAAAAAGGGGACCTACACAGTCTTAGGCAGGTGGTCATAATTTTATGGCTAATCAGTGTAGATGCAAATGGTGGCGAAGATGCGCCCTTCAACCAGAATGAACTGGTTATGTGTGAGTATTTCTCCATTTGGAGAATCCACTTCTGGAACTCAGTCCAAGACCTACTATATATTGAAATGGCACTGGAGCTAACATGGAGTTACAGAGCTACCCAAAGTCTTTTCCTATGTCTCCCTTCCCCCTCAGCAGTCAGGGAGCTCCAGAAGGGAAGCAGGATGCTTTCCAAGATGCTCATCCCCTTCCATATTCTCCTTTTCTATGCTTTGCGTGTGTTGGTAATTGAGCAGCAGTCAGATGGTTGGACAAACCTGTCTTACAAACCTGGGATTTGGCCAACAGATTACTCTGAAACACACTGGATGGCTGGCAAGGATTAAGCCCCCCCATGGAGGCTTGCTTTGATCTGCTGTGCAAAAACCTCCTCATTATTGTCTATTCAGCCTCTACATGACGATTATTCATTGTATGAGAAACTGGTGGGTTGGGCTCAGCGGTTAAAGCCTTCATTTGCTCTTACAGTGTAATTACTGTACAGGGGTTTGTGTCTCGAACCACAAATAAAGACAATGACAAGGTGATAGGTAGGTAAACAAGGGTTTCAAATGTTTTATTCCTTTAATATCAATGGCAAATATAAATTGCTGCTCCACAATTCTCTCTTAAAATTTTTGCCCCTTCTACATTTGAAATATTTTTTTTTTAGACTTTGTCCAAATTCTCCAATTCTTAAAAATTAAGTGCACAAAATGCCCTCCTTTAAGTTGTTGTTCAACAAACAGACATTTCTGAAGAAGAAAGGTGGCAGGCGACGACGATGCTCATGAAATTATGATGGGGTGTGTCTGTGCGGTGTAATGGATGAAAGCACCACGCCTGAGACAGTCACATTGAAAAGGAATGGCCTTTGTGATACATGTCGATATATCATATACACTCATAAATGTCATATTCTGTTGGGTCATACATTTGTGTCTGTTTTAAGGCATTTTTAGCCACTTTGTATGCAGGGATAAAAAGGTGCAACAAAAACAAAACAAATATACAAATGAACATTGAGTTTCCCCTGATGCTGAAACCTGTAGCTTAAACAACTGGTCTGACTGTAGTCTTGTTCTTTGAGGGATTCCACACCTGCTTCTTAAGGCAGATGCTGAGCGCACCAGGGTCTTTGTTTTTTTGTTTTTTTTTTATTGGGGAAGTGAGGAGCAATAGTTGCATGTGATCACTGACACATACACTACCCCCACCACACGCCCCTGCCTCTCCTGCACCATGGATGCCAACGCAGCATGTGGAGGAGAGAGTCACGCACGCACACGTCGATTGGCGAAAGATAAGACGACAGGCCATGGATGGGAATAAGGAGGAAACAGGAGACTCCCATAGACAGACATCAATGCTTTGGGTAATACATAAAGTCTTTGTCGAGGACTTTTTGCATTTTACTAGTAAACAAATGAACAGAAACATAGCCTTACAATTTTTTTTAAACCACCCACCCTCTACAACCCCCAAAAATTCTCTCTGAAGACGGTGACGAAATAAACACAGTTTGCACAGGCATTCACCGACAGACATTTCAGTGAACACACCTGCCCACTCACACCTAATATTCCACACATTTCCCCGTTAGTCCCCCTAGTAGCGTGGCTAAACAGTTCCTCTCCGTTTGAAAAAGGTTTCAATTTGACAATAAAAGCAGCATTCCACACTCAAAACTAAACAACCCTATATCTATTTTTCTGATTCATCTTCATGCTTTAACTGAGATTTGCAAGTGGTGGCTGCAGGAGCGGGGAGGTTTCCTTTGGCACTGTGCTGCCACACTGCAGGGTGGAGGACATCTACATTCAAAGAGCTGCAATCCTCTCCCTGCCCGTGATGATTTGGAACCAAAAACAAAAAGGGCTAAAAATCTCACCTGGTGTGAGCAGCCATTTTGTTTTTTAAGGTTTCCCAGGCACCGAGATGGGCGAACAGGAAACACACCTTTTGCCAGAGGAATCATCACCGCCACTCAACCTGGCCACCGACTCCTCTCTTTTATACTTTTTTTATTCACATTTTTTATCAATTATTCCGATTTTTTTGTCCTTTTATTCCCCCCGTTAAAGGGCAACATGGCTTTGAAAACAGAAGAAAAAAAGATCATCAACCACAAAGAAAACATTTTATTTTCTAGGAGCACCGTGTCGAACAGACACAAAAGCCTCGAGGCACAAGAAACATTTCTAAATATTCTATGGACTGACTAGGCTGTGCAAACAAACTACACGTTGGAAACTCTCAATAAACCTCACAGGAACATAGGCTATGACTAATTAAATATATTTATATATTCATCTAGATATTTAGTATATGTAATAAATACATTTGCTGATAGACATAGAGATCTTTCTGTAAACTATTTACATTTAAAGGTGTACATTTTTTGCAGAAACAATAAATAGCTATGAAGGCAAGGCAAAGGAGAGAAAATCTGTTGTTTTAACATTTTGGTGCTTTTCATTTGTGAACACAGAGAAAGAGTTGGGCCTTTCTCAGTGTGTTCCCACTGAAAAGTTAAAGCCAGTCCTTCTGTATCTCGACTCGGCTCGTCTCAAACTGAACTCTCCCTTCATAAATAATTGGCAGGAACATCCACTCGCAAAAAAATAATGCTCTCAATCTCACCTGCCTGTCCTCTCTACATAATGGAATGTGCTCCAGTCTCTCGACTGCTCTCAGGGGATATGCTCTTTCCTTCCTATTAATACCTGGTGAAGGGGGCAGTGAAGAAGTAGTGTACAAAATTTACCAGCACCTGCCGAAATATACCAGCATTCGGCCTGGTGGCTGGTGTTTAAAGTTTCCAAACCTGCTAGTGACCCCTGTCGTCGCCAGGCTCAGACGTGACATACATACATTATGATAAATGGATGCTTTAAAAACGCCACAGTCATCAGAGAGAGGCAAAAAACATCAAACCCACCCCAAAACCCTCCCACATACCCCGGCCCCTTCACAATCTCATGCTGAACTAATTTTTTGTTGTTGTTTTTGATTTTGTTTTTACTTTTTCCTCTGAATGGCAGGTGTGGACAGAAAATTACAGGGTAGTTATGAGCCTGCCTGCCAAAGCCTTGGTAATAAGGGGCGTATTGCTGTCGGACCCTGACGGTTAAACAACACACACAGTCTAGTTTAGTTTCCACAAACTCTGCTGTGCTCTGCAGCACAGCTGTGGCGTAGTTTTCCCACTTCATCTGGCAACATTACTGCAACAGCTGTAGTGGGAGCCTTTAAGTTTTGTAAGAGACCGGAAAGTGCAAAACACCGTGGCTGACTGGTGAGCAGGCCAGAAAGAAAGCCTGACATCATGTCAGCGTCACACCTTTTGGGAGGACTCTGTCTCATTGGACAACTAGGAGCGATGGAGGGGTATGTGTATGTGTGTTTAAGTTTGTGTGAAGTAAGGGTGAAATCAAGTGCTTCCCATGGCTCTTGAGGCATAGAAAAAGAGGCAGTGGGATATTGTGTGGTAACATTCTCTGGCTGAAAGTTGTGTTTCTGACGGACGGAGGGGTGGAGTGTCTTTAGAATCCTTGTCTGACTGGTGCAGAGCAAGTGACACCCTAAAGACTGACCGCTGATGATGTGCTGGATGTGGGCGGCTGTCTCAGAGGTGTTACAGTCTTTAATGGAAATCTCCGTGGGGACAGGAAGTCCGCAGAAGCCCGGCTGGAGGAGAGGCCTCAGACTCGATTAGTCCTGGTTGGGATGGAGGGAGGGAAGGGGATGAGGTCTGAGCGGGACCAGGAAGTGGCGAGACAATCTTGTGATGGGATTGGCTGAGGCCGGGAGGCGGGAGTTGGGTCAGTAACCAGTGCTGTCTATAGGCTGCAGCCCAGCTGCTTGGCCGTCTCCTGAGTGTCCTGCAGGCGCAGCAGGCTGGCGCTGGAGTAGCCCTCGTCGCTACAGCTGCTGCGCAGGCTGCCCCTCTCATCCCCTGAGTCGCTCACACTGCTGGTGCTCCACTCCAGGTCACCCAGCAGGTAGTCCGTCCCCTCCACGTCCACATCCAGGTCTTCTGTTGGAACAAAAAGACAACATTGTGATATGGCTGAATGATTCAATTCAATACTATCATTTATCAATACAAGTTTTTCTGAAGGTTGCTCAAAAGCTCATTTTACTACTTTAATCTTTCCTGAGCAAACAAGGCCGGGTACTACCTCTTCAGTCATTTCTTCTAGCACCTGGACTGCAAGACCCTGTGTACATAATACTTTTTGCTTTGCACCTTCAGCAGCCCCCCCCCCCCCCCCCCCCCCCCCCGCACTTGAAATATGATAATACCTTGATAGTATTCTAAATGTGGGGGGTGGTGATGGGGCAGTGGATAAGGTGCATGCTTTAGTGTTCAATCCCGTACTGTGACACATCCACCAGTGTGTCCCTGAGCAACACACTTAACCCCTAGTTGGCGTGCGACCTCTGACATGTATAGCAATTGTAAGTCGCTTTGGATACAAGCGTCAGCTAAATGAGTAAATGTGGTTAACATAGATTACATTAATGCTTATCTTTGATGGTCATATTATACACTACAGTAGATCATTTAGTTTAGTGATTTATTTTCTGATGATCCAAGCAGGCTCATATACAACACATAGTCATTTTGATGGAGGGATCATAACCTGCCTGACTGACTTATTCTGAATTATTTCTTAAACCCTGATACTATTATTTGTATTCCTATCGTTTTTGCTCATTGCATTTATAAAGAACTGCCTATGACTTGAGAGGACACACTCTGCATTGTCAAATCTTACAACATTTTTACATGTTATTACAGATTATTTTGGTGGACGGCAGCTGTGAGACCTCTGTACTAACAGTGAAACAATGATGTGCCACAACACTATGTTACTGTTTGCTGCATTCTTAACACTGCAGATTACACTGGATTTATTATTAGTTTGACAAGAGGATTTATACGTCAGAATGTATAATTTTTATTTTAATAAATAATTATTTTTAATAAATAATTTAGTAAACAGAACGAGTTTAGATTGTTTAGTTTAACAGAGACTCCAAAACATAAACTTTATTGCGCATATTCAGCAGTCTTTTCTCAAGACAAAGATAACAGGCGCTCGAGAGACTTATAGTAATGATAATTAACCCTTTTTGTTTTGAATGAACAGCCCCCCCCCTCCCTCCATCGTCTTTTCATTATTGCATATTTTGATTTATGATAAGACAGCTGTTGGCTCTGGGGTTGTTTGAGCTTCTCACAACGCGACGATATCACTTACAATCTCTGAATAATTACATAAATAAAAACATCCAACCCATTGAAAAGACACAAATGACCACAGTAGCGTAAGTAACATATAATTTGTTCTCATCTGCTTTCATGGAGAGCAGTGAGTGTGTCGTGTCTGCGTGCCTGGGTGAAGGCTCACCTTGGTCAGAGTCGGACTTGTCAGAAGACCGAGTGGAGCCGGTACTGTCCGTGCGGGTTCTCTCCACCCCAGCTGCTCCAGACGCCTCCTCAGGTGTCTCTGCTCCCGCTGTAGCTGCTCCACGGTGTGCTGAGCTCTCCTATCGCTCTCCTCCAACCTCTGCAGGGTGAGGAGGGGAAAAAAGTTGGGGAAAAAGTTGCTGTGTGTGTTTTCCCTCAGTGGCTTATCTAAGAGCTTTTAGTCACTCAGTCACACACTGCTAACACACTTACCCAAATTGCCCTCTTCACACTGATTAGGTGAGTACCAGACACACATATTATTATATATATATATATACACATATATATGTACACACACCTTGATATGATCTTTGGCCTTCATCAGCAGGCTGAGGGTGGTGTGCCTGTTAGCATCTGGTCCTAAGGGAACGAGGGATTTCAAGCGCTCTAAACACAGCCGTAGATGTGCCCGTCTGAAGAGAGAGCAGAAGAAACAAAGAGAGAGACAAACTGTCAAACATCATTAGCATTTTTTCAAGTCAGATCCACACAAAAAACAAGCATGTAATTTGTTGTGTGTGAAAGTTCATAAATGGCCTTGGAAATGAATAGAATACAAACAAACAAAAAATAACTCGTGGTCCACTTCCTTAATGTTTTTTTTCTGGAGCTTTCTCATGGTCTTCATCAGTGGAGGGAGTTTGCTCAATTATATGATGACAACTGAGCCATCTCATCGTGACGATGTGCGGATGAAGACCATGAGATGCGGTTGAAAGCTTATGCAAAAAGCTAGCAAGTTGATCTTGATTTTTATTTTAACGTCAAACGTGATTAGTAATTGATGCAAGGCTGCATAAAGCCTTAAGTAGCTTACTTATTATAAAGGCTGAGAATTGTCTTGAATTTTTCATTACTATTTCCAATAAGATATCAAATAAATACCTTTTTCAATACCTTACTTTACTGTTTTTTGACCATGCAAGTGCCTCAGCTCTAAAGGATGGCAATGCCGGTCGGTTGGCCCACCTTTCTGGTCTGACTGAAATACCTCAACAACCAATGGATGGATTATCATGAGGTTTAGTGATTCCTTAACTTTCATTGAGCGCCATCATCAGGTCAAAACCGAATCCCTGCAAACCTAATTATGCGCCCATCACCCTCACAGTGCTTCGTGTTCAAAACTAAGTTGGTCAACATTGTCATTGTGAGCATGTCAGCATGCTGATGTTAGCATTTGGCTCAAAGCACCAACTACTACTCATGTTATTCAATAGTCTTGTTATACAACAGAAGCCTAACCTCTAAAATGTTAAATATTGTCGACACACAAGCAGCCTTACAAGCACTGTGCCTAAATACAATACAGTCTATTATTAAAATATTATTATGGTCTGATTAAAGAATAAGTAAAGTGTGTATCCGAGTATGCACTCAATGCTATGTTTAATATTTGACAGTTTCAGTACTTTTATTGTATTGCAACAGACACATTTTTGGCTGTACCAAAGAAGTATTCAAGTACCCCACCCACCATAACACATCACTGATGTAACTTTGGGATCAATCGATATAGAAAATAAATATCAGCCAAAAGGAATTCTGGAGAATCATTCCCCAAACAACAGGGAAAAAATAAAAGAGCTTCCTCTGAGCTACTGTGTGTTTTGGTTACTCAGGTTTTTGATACAAGAGTTACTCACTCACATTAAGAGGTAGTGATGAGATTCTCCTGTGTATGTCTTCAACATTGTAACATTATGACATATTGTTGCTACATAACCTGTGTAGTAATATCCTATTAGGATATTTCATTGAGCTGATCCTCCCTTGACAAGAAGAAAACAGAAATGTGCTTAAATCCAATCATCATCTGTGACATATGTCTAGATCTGAACTCATTATTAATGTCACCTGTCCTACAACAACCCCCCCGCGCGTGCGCTCTCAGCTGCTCTAAGCTGGCAGCCTTGGCAGTTGCTAAGGTCTGGTGGGTGTTTGTGACCACTTGACCCCACTGTTACACAACACACACCTCCAGCTCCAGCCTCGGCGGAGTGTGTACGTGTCTGTATGCCTGTGCATGCCTCAGCGAGTGGGCGTGTGTACGTCAGACTCTTCCTGAGAGCGGCTGTAAAATCGTTTTTTTCGGTGGTAGAGGGCTGGCTGGATGAGTTGTTCATGTATTGTCCGCTGCAGGTAATCCTGAAGTGAACGTCACGGCCCAAAAGAGTTTATTCAAATCAAAATACTTATTTTACTGTGCGCAGCGAATCCACATAAATATATTCGCACCCCCCTTTGCCCTTTTAAACACGCACGCACGCGCGCACGCACGCACGCACGCACACACGCACACACGCACACACACACACACGCACACACACACACACACACACACACACACAGCAAGTGGATCCCACACACCCACAAAAAAAAAAGCAGTAGTCAGCGGCTGAAACCAAGTGCCTGTTTCTCAGCTGACTCAGTCCAAAGGGCAGATTGATATTACATAACATGGAAATGCCCTTGCCTGTGTTGTTCTGACATAATAAAGGGATCAGCAGGGCTACATAATGTTTGTTAACGAGCAGCAGACTCATGAAACGGCACAGGTCACATGGTATCTAAGTGGGAGGAAAACACTGCGGACATTTCAGCAGCAGGTTATTCTGGTTTACTGTGGTTTCAGTGCAGTGTGTCAATAGGTGAGCATGTATGTGGAGCTATAGGCTGGATGCTACATTTCTCTGAACCCAGTTTTACACTTAAATGTACCACCTGTACATTGTACAACAATTTCAACTCGCACCTGACTGTGTGAGTTGAATTTGTTGCGTAAAAGCAGTTGGGTTACCGTGAGTAATTTACTACCTGCCTATAATGGCGTTCTACCATCAAGCTACTGTTGGAGAAACTGGCTAAAGGCTAGGAATGTTGTCAAGTTATATTACGACGGGGCCATGCTCATAATTTTTACTTACTGCTGGGTGTAAGGTGTCTCCACACACACACACACACACACACACACACACAGACACACACACACACACACGCACAGTGCTAAATCCCAGGCACAGGCCTCAGTGCCATGTATTATTATTTAGGCTGTCCACCTAGCTGCTGGTTTCGATCAACTACCACAGGCAGGGTGGAAGCGAGTGAAGCGAGTGACAGGGACATAAAAGACACTAATTCTAGCAGAAACTACTGAAAAACAGCAGCAGTTTGATTTTTGTTTGTGTAACTGTGACATTACTTTATTATAGTAAAAGTATGAATTTGATAGGAGGAGTATGGGTCTATAGTAGCTCTGCTCTGTGAAGTAGCACTTTGGCACAGCGGTGCTTTGAGCTAAATGTTAACACCAGCATGCCAACATGTTCACAATGTCAGTGCTAAAATGAGGATGTTAACTGGTTTAATGTTTACCATGTTGACCGGCTTAGTCGCGCATGTTAGCATGCTAACCTTTGCTAATTAGCAATAAGCACAAAAGTACAGCTGAGGCTGATGGGAATGCCATTGGGTTAAAATGTTGACCTGTACTTAAACAATATTAATTTATTCACTATTTTCTCTATTTATTTGAATACTGGGTAAAATCATCCTCCATACTTAACAGAGATTCTTAATCTGATAGAAAAAAAACATTCTCCGTCGACATACCATAATTTACTGACACTTTACATGGTGACAGCAGGGTGGAGGGTGGAGTGCTATTGTTATGGTTTGAGGAACAGCACAAACACACAAAGACATTTTACATACCTGTTTTTTTCCATTTCATTGTGCGTGGACCTGAGGAGATAAAACACATATGAGAAACCACACATAATATCAGAAGCACAGATTAAACAGGTTCCTCTCTGCGTGCCATCAATGCAGTCCAAAGCCTTACTGCAGGGGAGTGACAGAGAGAGACGCTGTGTGGGAGTTTATGAGCAGTCAGAACGGCAGACAAAATGAGATTCTAGGAAATCAGAAGAGCAGGCTGGGTATTCTGATGCCAGAGGCTTGTTCTACCGACGAAACTTGTGCTTTTTAAGGACCACACTCAAATACGTGATGAGGAGGCCAGGAGTGAACATAGTAACAGTAACTACAAACAGAGGGCAGGAGTAGACGGGACTAAGCACCTACATATTGCCTGATTATCCACTCTGCATGTTGTACTGAGAGAGTCGGAGAAAACACAGTGCTGAAGGCTGGAAGATGGAGGTGTGCTGCAGCATAAAGCAGAACACACACAGACAGACAGACTGCAGAAACGGGGAACAGCGTAGTGTTTGGAAGGATTGTGCTGGCCTGACCTGTGTGAAAAGGGGTGAATGGGTGGTGGCATTCCTGAACTCTAATCTATCTCCCCTGACCTCCTGACCCCCCACCCCACATCCCAAAATAGCCTCTGCACCTTCAGCTGTGCTAGACCCCTACACTGTCATCATAGACTCCCACACACACACACACACACACACACACACGTTTGTTCCTCTATCCCTCTGGGGACATTTTATTGACATAATGCGTCACCAAGCCCCTTACCCTAACCTTAACCTAATTCTAACATGAACCCTAAACCCATGTTTTAACCCTCAAACAGCCCTTTAAACATGCATTTTGGTCCCCACAAAGCTGTCGGATCCCATTATAGTGCAATCCCAAATATAGTAAAACACACACACACACACACACACACACACACACACACACACACACCACACACACACACACACACACACACACACACACACACACACACACACACACACACCACACACACACACCACACACACACGGTCATGTCTAACAACTTACTTTCAAGACTTAGCTTAGAACTACTGTCTTCTACTAGGCTCAGTCACAACCTCTGAACAGCAATGGGTGTCATGCCCGCGTGTGTGTGTGTGTGTGTGCGCGCGTGTGCGTGTCAGCTTTGGGGGCTCTCTATCTCACTTGGCCCCTCCAGTCAGTGTGCATTCCTGTGCACGGCAGACAGCCGCTGGTGACATAACAGCACTGGCAGGGAAATGATCCCTCTGATTCCAGCTAGATTTCAGGCTCAGGGACATCTCCCACTTCCTGCCCGAGTCCCATCACCCTCTGCCCCTCCACAAGTAACACTGAGTAATGAAAATATTGTTTTTTGTGTGAGCCATGTGGAATAACATATGGTTTGCTCTAATTCCATGTCAGCACATGAAACTGGATCCAAATACCACATACACCCTGGGACCACATTGACTACATCGAAACTCAGCTTTAGCCAAACTTTACCTGCCTCAAGCTTTGTTTCAAGATTTCCATTACTATTTGGGATACAGGCAGTATGTTTACAAAAGTCAGTGTGATGTAGTGGAGAGGGGGAATTAAAAAGGGCGCCCAAGTGGCTCACTGCATATAGTCGTCTGTCTCTCTCCAGCTGGCACTATCGTAGTGAGGCAGAAATTTGGACAAAATTATCTTAAAAAAATCTGTTCAGAATCGCTACTCTTACCTTCTGCGATCCTGAACAGATTCTCAACTTGCAATATTCTTTTTTAAGAGGTGGTATTTGCTTTTTGGCTTTTTCCCTCTCCTTTATTGAGTTATATAAAAACCTAATAGGTTTGCAAAGTGAAAAAGCCCAAAAAGAGTTCCCATCTCCCACAGAAAATTCTGCTCTTTCTGGATGAAGAATACTTTTGTTACAGATTAATAACTCTCAACTCTGAAACTCTTGCTCCAGTCTATGTTGCCAAGCTGGTTCAGCAACATGTACAGCTGAAACGAAGCCGTGTTTACTGTCTTCTCATTGGCCCACCCTTCTCTGCTTCTGATTGGCTAGTAGTCCTTAACTAGGAACTGCGCATGTGCAACTCCCAATAAAGATCATTTAGAGACAAGATGTATCACTCCATAGCTAAAACTAAGCCTTCAACACAGAGTGAAAAGAGGAGCTGCAGCAATGTGCAGTATGACAAAAATATGGTGTTTTTAGAAAATTAAACCATGTAAACCTGTTCTGGTACAACCCCTAAATAAGATTATGAACCTGAAAATATGCATAATACCACCTCTTTAAATCTTATTAAATGTTTCATTATTTATGCCACCTTTTTTATTTATTGGAATGAAGAACTGATTTTGAAAAGAAAAAACTACATTTGAAACTCTGTAATGTCGACACTGTTTCTAATAACCTCAAACCTAGTTTGGCATTTCTATACTTAGGTTTCTTGTTAGTCATCAGTCAACATACACAGATACTGATATACAGTATCTCTGCAATAAGCTTAAATCATCACTTATATCAACCTGGCTGATTTATCAGTATCACTCCAATTGCCACCACTGCTATGCAAATCAGCTACAATCAGGATGTGCAGTGGGTCTCATTGTGTCTTATATTCATATCAGTTATTGACCAAACTAAGTGTTAATATCTGGGAACATGGCGACAACTCTACAACACAGTCAGATGCAGTCAGATGACCAGACGGGTTGTAAGAAGCCGACTGCGTAGCTAGAATTACCACTTTGTTTGGAGGTTAAACTGTAAGTAGCACACCTGAAACTTTCCTCTAAATAAGAGAAAAACGTCCGATTGCTTATATTTCTAGCCCTATCCACCTTTTTAAGCAATTTCCCAGATTTTAGTGATTAACTTGGTGACTACAATTCCACCGACAGGAATGATGCCCATGTTGTATGAAACCTGAATGTGGGTTTGAAGTTAGCCTGCTTCTAGACCTCTAAATCCTTGTAAGTCAACTTCAGAAGTAACAACTCTCAAATTGGTAAATTTTTTTATTGGGGAAAATATAATGTTAACTGCTCAAAGCAGCTACTACCACAGCATCAAATGAAAATGGCAGTGAAGGGATGTAATAAGGGACAGGATAAGTCGCTTGGTACTTACTGGTCAGGGCAATGTCAAGAAAATGAATGACTATTCTAAAAATAAGCTTCAGTCGTATAACTCCACAGCAGTGTAGACCCTCATTTCACACTTCAATCTTCCCATACGGATTCCTGGACAAAGTCTTACTACATGGGATTCATGGGCTATTTACAGGGGTGCATGACAGAAAGTTTATGAATCAGATAATACTGGATCACTGAACTGTAGAAAAATGATTCACCAGTGTAGCTTCCTTCGGCTCGGTCGACAACAAGATTCTTCTACATTAATCTACCATCAAGTGGAATTTTCACTTGTGAAGCCTTGCTGTAGCCTCACACAACAACAACACCAGCACAGGGTGGTTAGCATGGAAAGACTACAATTGCCTGCTCAACAAGGATGGCAAGATCACTGTATGTTTTCCATAGTGCACTGAAGTTGCGTGTGTGTGTGTGTGTGTGTGTGTGTGTGTGTGTGTGTGTGTGTGTGTGTGTAGGGTGTGTAATGGAGGAGCTGGTGCTCTCCACAGCCTGCCAAGAGTTAGAAGAGAGCAGGAAAGACACAGAGGGGCGGAGGAGGTGAGGAGAGAGTGAAAAAGCAAGAGGGAGCGAGAGATGGGGGGGGGGGGAGTCACCACTACTGGCACACATGCACACATACATGCCAGAAACACAGTGACTCCCCTCCCCCACCGCACGCACATCCATGCCTCGGAGAAACGACGACTTTAAATACATCCATTCCACGTCTGCCTGCCTTACATTTCAAGTCTCAACAGCAACAAAAAAATAACAAACAAACATCATGCCTGATCAATTAATGATCCGCTCTTCTCTGGCAGAAATCAAACCCCCCTTCCCCCCCAAGAGGCAAATTAATTGATAGCAATAGTGCTGGTCTGTCTATTAAAGAACAAGAGCCAACATCATACAGACCATATCAAATCATCTACGCTGAGCAGAAACCTGTCTTAAGAACAAGCTGCCCTTAAATAGTAATGGCTGATAAAATGCTCATAGCTGGTGGGTGAGTTGCTGCAGATTAACACAACCCTGTGCTCAACAACAATAAATGGTCAAAGTGAATGCTGGTGAGCTAAAGCATGACTGGAAATATGGACAAACCTGCATCAGCTGTTCAGCTTAGTCGATTGGCATGAAATTAATTGGCAGCAATTGTGATTATCCAATTGCCAAACATGCTCTAGTTGCAGCTTCTCCAATGCGAGGATTTGCTGCTTTTTTATATCGTTGTTTATATCACTGGGTTTTGGATTGTTAGTCGGTGGTCAGATAAAACAAGACATTTGATGATGTCATTTGGACTCTGGGAACTTGTGAAGGACGCTATTCAATAAACAACTACTACTACTAATAATAATCAACTGATTAACCGATAATGAAAATAAATTAATCGTTGCAGTCGACACACTGAGATGGTGCAAAAATAAGTCTGATTGCATTGCAGTCAATGACAAAATGACTCTACTTCTCACTTTATTTATTACCTCAGTAAACACTTTCCTAATGAGTTTATGGTCTCATTTGCTAGTTCAAGTCTTCTTCAACACAGCATGATGTTTATTTTGTAAATTATGGTCTATTACTATTGAGTAGCTGCCACAGCAATCTGTCAATCAGGACAGAGGTGAATGGTATCTACTGCAGTGTATACATTAAAGAGTCGTGAACTTGTTTTTGACTGTTTTTCGGTGTTTTAGTCTAAAAACTTCAGTTCATGAAAAGGAAGTGTAACATTTGGTCACCTAAAAATGTCTACTAAAACACACTGTAAAGTGCGATTTATACTTCTGCGCGAATAGATGGCGTAGCCCAGGGGTCAGCAACCTATGCGCGCAAGACAGCGTGGGCACGCAGAGACATTTTAAGTGGCATGTGAGAAAGCTACATCCTAC